TGTAATTTAAACATGTAAAATGTATATATTTTTTATTTTATTTTACCTCTACCTCTATACTTAAGCCTCTGTTAAAATTTACCTCGACAGACTTCAGCTTACCCCAGTACAGGTATGCCTTTCCAGACTGGATGTTACTGTCGAGTTCTGCCTCTCACCAGAATTGTTTTAGTTTTGATGCAACGGGCAAGAACACATTTAAACATTTAGTGCAAAAAAGCAGTTCCACATGCATGCAGGCTGCAGAGTGGGACGCTCCACGACTTCACCCCAAACAGGAAGTCATTATTGGATGCAAAAAGCTGAAGTAGATGGTAATATACCATATTTTTTTGGCCTATAAATTGCGGGTTTTTTTGCATAATTTACATGCCCTGTGAATTATATGCTGAAGCGAATTATTTATGGATTTTTTCCCATATTTATAAATCAATTTTTGGCTGAGATATGAGTGTTTTCATTCATTCAGACTGAAAATATTGAACACTACCATTTTCAGCCGCTAGATGGCACTCGAGTAATGTGGCATGCCGTTGTGTCATGTAATAGGTAAAAGTGGCTATTAATGACACAGTCGGCTTGCCATAGTATGCCAACTTTGTCCAGCTCACCTGGAGCAACAGTCAAATCAGCTTCATTTCGCTGCACCGCCCCAGAGAAATGCAACTGATTTGACGATTAAAGTGCATTTATTAAGTAAAAGTTCAGCTGAGACACACCTTTGATATAATGTTGAGTAGACAAAAAATTGTTTTAGGTGCTTATCTTGTTAAATTTTGAAGAAATGCGCAGTGTTCTCCTTCCTGATTTCCTCCCTCTGTGCTCCCGGAGCACAGAGGAAGCAAATACTTTTGAAATGCAGCTGATTTGACCATTAAAGTGCATTTATTAAGTAAAAGTTATACTGAGACACACCTTTACTATAATTTTGAATAAACAAATAATTGTTTTTAAGTGTTATCTTGTTAAATTCTTGTTAAAGTCCTCCCGTGCACGCATCCCAGGGTTGCCATTTGACAGCCCATCGATTTCTGGCACACCGGCACACATTTCTGGGTTGCAGCAGTGACGCATAATAGATGCATTCATTCAACCTTTATTTAGACAGGTTAATCCCATTGAGCCTCGGGAATTCATTTACAAGAGACCTGATTGACATATTTATGAATTTTTCCACTTTATTAGACATATTTGGACTGATGCGACTTATAGGGCAGTGTGGTGTGTATGGCAGAAAATACACGTACGGTGGAAAATACAGTACTTGGGTCAGTAAAATAAAATAAAGAAGAGCAACACCGTCAGGCCAGGACTCTGCGGTCTACACTCATCTCCAGGCCAGCGGTCACTCTTTCAGGGATGAAGATGTTCACATCCTGGACAGAGAGGAACGATGGTTTGAGAGAGGAGTAAAGGAGGCCATCTTTGTGAAAAGAAATCGTCCATCGTTAAACAGGGGTGGAGGCCTCCGGGTTCAACTGTCCCCCTCTTACAATGCTGTGATTGCTAGTATCACTCAGCCCCCTGTGAATAGTAAACAGCCATCAGTGTGCTAATGATCCATTGTTAGGCTGATGGTCCTTCTTGAGCATGTGATCAGCTGGTTTTGGTTGTCAGCAGCAAACTGGTTGATCCACTCTGAGAAGGTGCTATTTAAGAGACTGAGCTGAATACAGCACCTCAGACTGAGGAAGTCTTTCGAATGAAAGACGAAACGTTTCTACAATTTTTTTTTTTTTTTGAAGGTCCAGAGGACCAGATTGAACTTTTTTAGACTTTTCTACCTGGATTATTGAGCATGCATCAAGATATTGGCACAAAAGTAATTAATACTTTGTAATGGGGGAGGGGGGGGGTAGAGTATTTATTTTTCTCCCTTGAATACTTGAATAATCATAAAGTTAAAGGTCACTACAAACGATAATTATTTAATCTTTTTAATGTTTCCTTGCAACATTTTCTATTCTAGCAGAAAGAAGAAGCTTTTGCTTTAAATCTAATTTGATCATTTGAACTTTATTCAGTTTGAGCTTCTTCAACCAGTTGTATAAGTCAGTGTTCACACTGTATGTTTTACTGTATTTTCCACCGTACGCGTCGCACCACTCTATACGACGCATTTGTCTAATAAAATGGAAAAATTCATAAATATGTTGCATCACCGTATATGTCACATCTATTATGCGTCACCGCTGACAACCTGGAAATGTGGGCCAGTGTTGAGCCAAAAATCGATGAGCTGCCAAATGGCGGCCGCGGGAGTGTGCACAGAGTCAGTCAGAGTCAGAGTCAGAGTTTCTTTATTGTCATTCGCACCTCATGTGGTACATGTGGTGGAGCGAAATTATGTACACAGGGTCCCAGTTACATCCAACAATAAAATGTATAAGAAAAACAGTAATAACATCTAAGATATGAACTAAGAAAAACATCAACTAAATATACACTAAGCACTCATAACATAAAACATTGAACATCACCACAAACATGAACATGAGTCTGTGAGCAGATGTGCACGCATGAACACATCAACATTGAAACAGATCAGCAGCAACATGAAACAGATCAGCAGCAACATGATATGGTTTTTCACAGTGATTATTCTAGTTAGAGATTCATGAGTCTAACAGCCTCAGGGTAGAAGCTGTTCCTCAGTCTAGTGGTTCTACACTTAATGCTCCTTAACCTCCTTCCTGAGGGGAGTGGGGCAAAAAGTGTGTGTGCTGGGTGGGTGGGGTCCTTCATGATGCAGGTGGCCCTCTTCCTGCATCTAGAGGTGTAGATGTCTGTGATGGTGGGGAGACTGACTCCAACAGATTTCTGTGCAGCCTTCACCACTCTCTGCAAAGCTTTTCTTTCTGCAGCTGTGCAGCCTCCATGCCACACATTGATGCTCGAGCACAGGATGCTCTCCACTGCACACCTGTAGAAGGAGGTGAGGACTGAGCTTCCCAGACCAGCTCGCCTCAGCCGTCTGAGGAAGTAGAGTCTCTGATGAGCTTTCTTGATCAGGCTGGTGGTGTTGTTGCTCCAGCTGAGGTTGTCATTCATGTGTACACCCAAGTACTTGTAGCTGGAGACCACTTCCACCACAGATCCTCTTATGTTCAGGGGGGTGTAGGTATTTTTGTTCCTTCTGAAGTCCACAATCATCTCCTTTGTCTTCTTCACATTGATGTGAAGGTTATTCTCATTCGCACAGGAGGATTTAACAAGAATTTAACAAGAATAACACTTAAAAACAATTATTTATTTGCTCGAAATTATATTAAATGTGTGTATCAATCTAACATTTGCTTAATAAATGCACTTTGATGGTCAAATCAGCTGTATTTCAAAAGCCGATACGCGGAAGGAAACGTGTGCACGCGACGAGTCGCTGTACAAATTTAACAAGATAACCGCCTAAACAATTATTTGTTTGCTCAAAACTATAGCAAAGATATGTTTCAGTCTAACATTTGCGTAATAAATGCACTTTAATGGTCAAATCAGCTGAATTTCAAAAATAGTTTTGCTGCCTCGGTGCTCCATGAACGCGCAGAGGGAGAAAAAAACGAGGAGGAATGCGACTTGTTTCTCCAAAATTGAGGGTGCATTCACACCAGCCCTGTTTAGTCTGCTTTAATTGAACTCTAGCTCATTTTCCTAGAAAGTCCGGTTCATTTGGGGAGGTGTGAACGCGCCATCGAACTCTGTCATGGAACAAAAAGGTGAACTCTGGCCCGGGCTAAAACCTAGGTCTCGGTCCGGTAGAAGAGAACTCCATCGCGTTTCGAGTACAGTGTGAATGTAAACAGACCGGACCTCGCTCCGCAGGACAAAGAAACACGCATTTCTCTGACCTTATATGGAGCCGTCAGCTGCCTTGTGTGAAAAAAAATATTCTCCATGGTCTTCTGCCTCATCTTCTGCTCATGCTAAGTCCATTTTTGAAAAATGACAAAATAATAACTCCTAAAACTGCTATAACTTGATGTCACTCCGTTTTTGTTTTTATTTCCAGAAGAAGAAGAAGAAGACGTGTCTTCAGAGGTTTTTGTGTTGTTTCTTTCAGTAGTTCTGGGTGCAGCGCCCCCACAGGTGAGTGGGGGAACAGGTTGGTTCGAGCAGGTTGGCTCGACTGCACAGTGCAGTGTGAACGCAAACGCACCAGCTCAAATGTAAACAAAAGGTTATGAATATTGGTCCCCAACCGAACCGAGTCTACCAGACTATCAGGTGTGAAAACAATCTTAACAAGAAAAGCATCTAAACAATTATTTGTTTGCTCGAAATTATAGCAAAGGTGTGTGTCAGTCTAACATTTGCTTAATAAATGCATTTTAATGGTCAAATTAGCTGCATTTCGCCGGGGCGGTGCAGCTGGTTTGACGGTTCCAAGCAATGAGCAGAATGAAGTTGGGGAAATTATGGCAGGCTGATTGAGTCATTAATAGCTGGTGAAGATTCTCAGTCATTCAAGACTAAGTAAATTAAAAAAATTCAAGGAAAAAAACCATTAAAGTATAAAGTATAATAAATAAAGTCCAGTTGTTTTTGTCTTGAACTTGTTTGAATTTGTCATTATAGCCACGTTTACATGTTACATTATACAACAGCATGCCATATTGCTATTACTACTCTGCTGCCATCACATGGCTAAAAGTGGTACTGCTTTATTTTTTTTTCAGTCAGAATGAATGAACGGTCATATCTCAGCCAAAAATTGGTTTATAAATGTGGGGAAAAGAAATCCATAAATATGTTGCTTCGGTCTATAAGTCGCAGGGCATGTAAATTATGCAAAAAATGACTTGTTGGCCAAAAAATACGGTAGTAAAAAAATAAATCAGATTCTAATATTGTGACAGCCCCCCCCCCCCACACACACACACACACACACCAATGTTAACACCAGCTGGGCTCAAACTCTACACCTCACATAGAACTGTCACGAACCTCAGGTAATGAGGTTACGAGACGCCACCAGAACCAAAGAGCACGGTGGTCTCACTCACATCGTTGTGGAGTTCAGGCAGGTGGTTGCTGCTCAGCAGCTCGTCTTCTTGAACCAGAGGGGAGGGTCTGGGAGGTGGGGGCTGAGTAGCCTCGGAGGGCAGGGAGCCGGGACTTCCCATCCAGCTGATGGCGTTACCTGCAGGAGAAACACATCACCTGTGAGGGTGGAGTCAGACAGGAACACCTGCATGTAAACTGTTTTTTTATTCCTCTTCCAGGAGCTTTATTGGTGGATTCACCTCGTCAGGACTGATAGTTCTTATAGAGATCAAGCCTGGTCCATATACAGTGGGGGTCATCTTTTGGTTTGGGGTTAGGGTATGAACTAAGTTTAAGTCAGGGTTTAACAGGTCAGGGTTAAAGCTCTAGAACTGTGCTGCTCAAGGTGGCTGCATGATGGAGTAGCTCTGTTACATTCATTCTGAGATACTGCTTTTGAAAACTTTAATTCCTTTTTTAAATTATTATTTGGTATCAGTATATATGATATATTATATGGTATAATATAACATATTATTTGGTATATTATTACTCTGGTATCAGATGCTGTGCAGCTGGAAGGATTTTTACTGAAACCTTTTACTTTTGGACATTTGTTATGATGCTTAACCATGACAACATGGTGTTTTTTAGAACAATGAGCAGCAGATTAATTTCTCAAAAGCTCAAATAATATCTCAAATACTGCCCCAAAAGAAGTTTAAATGCCTTGGGGTTCACCTGGACAACAGACTGGACTGGAAATGCAACAGTGAAGCCGTCTACAAGAAGAGGCAGAGCAGACAGTACTTCTTGAGGAAGCTGAAGTCCTTCAGTGTTTGCAGCAATATGATGCATATCTTCTATAAGTCTGTTGTAGAGAGTGCTATCTCTTCTGCCATCATCTGCTGGGGTAGCAGCACCAGAGCAAGTGACTTAAAAAAGATCAACAAGCTCATAAAGAAGGCTGGCTCAGTTCTGGGGACTCCTAGAACCTTTGGAGATGTTTGTACAAAGAAGGATTCTTCCTCGTTTTGGTGGCTTTAGGATCACGTCTCTGCTTTTTGCAGACGATGTGGTCCTATTGGCTTCATCAGGTCGTGATCTACAGCTTTCGCTGGAGCGGTTTGCAATAGAGTGTAAAGCAACCGGGATAAGGATCAGTTCCTCCAAATCTGAGGCCATGATCTTGAACTGGAGAAGGGTAGAGTGCCCCCTCCAGGTCGGGGAGGAGGTCCTGCCCCAAGTGGAGGCGTTAAGTATCTCGGGGTCTTGTTCACGAATGAGGGAAAAATGGAGCATGAGATCGATAGGCGAATAGGTGCAGTGTCTGCAGTGAAGCGGGCGCTGTACAGGTCTGTCGTGGTGAAGAGAGAGCTGAGTCAAAAGGCGAAGCTCTCAATTTACTGATCGATCTACGTTCCTACCCTCATCAATGGTCATGAGCTTTGGGTTGTGACCGAAAGAACAAGATCACGGATACAAGCGGCCAAAATTAGTAGGGTGTCTGGGTTCTCCCTCAGAGATAAGGTGAGAAGCTCAATCATCTGGGAGAGACTCAGAGTAGAGCCGTTGCTTCTCCACGTTGAGAGGAGCCAGTTGATGTGGCTCGGGCATCTGGTTAGGATGCCTCCTGGATGCCTCCCTGGTGAGGTGTTCCAGACACGTCCCACCGGGAGGAGACCCAGAAGAAGACCCAGGACACGCTGGAGGGACTGTGTTCCTCGGCTGGCCTGGGAACGCCTAGGGATTCCCCTGGAGGAGCTGGTCCAAATGGCTAGGGAGAGGGAAGTCTGGGCCTCTCTACTTAGGCTGCTACTGCCGCAGCCCGACCTTGGATAAGCGGAAGAAAATGGAGGATGGAAGGATGGATAGATTCTTCATCAAATGAAGAACATTTTAGACAACCCTCAGCATCCTCTTCATCAGACTGTCATACAACAACAGAGTGTTTTCAGTCAGAGGCTTCTTCAAGTCCGTTGTAGGACAGACGCTACAAGAGATCCTTCCTGCCCACAGCCATCAGCATCTAGAACAACTCTTTAATGAAACCAGGATGATGAGTTACAACAACATTTAATTTCCCTTTGGATTAATGAAGTATTTTTAAAGTAATGTATTGTTGCTCTGGGCTGAGACTTCTAGTGACTTGTTGACCAACAGTGTTTATGAGGACGTCTCTAAAATGTCTCAAAACAGCTGTCCCTGCTTGAGTCCAGAGGCTCTCATAGCTTGAATTTTAAAGCTGCTCAAAAACATCTGTGCTACAAATGTTCTCTCCAAAGAGTCAGAGGACCACACGAGAGCCCCTCTGACAGAAGACATGACCCACCAATGATGAAAACTAATTATTTTTTAAAACTGTTCGATTCTGCCTGTTCATTTCAACACTGTACTCCAGTATATTCAGTACGTGATATTACAAGTTTTACACAATCTTAATCAAATTTAGTATGACTTAAGAAAAGATCACTCTGTTCAGGATCTGAAATAATCCAAAACCTGAGTCATGGTGACACTGAGGCGATGTGGATGCGTTTTCTGCTGTTTAACGCTCAGTTTTCTCACTTTGTTAGTGGTTCGTGTCAACACAAACTTCGACCAAACCGTTTCATTTGAATGATACATGTTTTTTTGTTTTTTTTTCTAATATGACACAGTTTAATCAAAAGATCTGAAGTTCACCAATAATCAGTGCTGGTCATGATGTGTTTCTGCCCTATTTCGTGTCACACAACAGACCAGTACATGGAGAGCTTTACCGTTCAGCTCAGCTTTATCTTCATCAGAAAATACCGGAGCAACACCCTCATTACTGTAGGGAAAGCCGCAGCCCATTGATCCAGCTCTAGGCTACCATCTCTTGTGAACAAGATGGTCATTCATTAGGAATTAAATAATTTCACTGAAAGTGTGTGTGTATGTGTGTGTGTGAGTGTGTGGGTGTAAAGCTACATATCTAGATGTCAGTTTTATTGTTAGTCCAGTTGTCAGCCCAGTAAATCACAGAGTTTTATGAGGAGTGCCCTGACACATCGATCTTAGGTTTAGTGTTTGGACACAAACACTCGGTGTGTATTGACAGCTGCTGTGATTGATGGACAGGCTGTCAGCTTCATGTCAGAGCGGGTGCGACTCTTTAGGATGCTGTGATGTAGCGTATAACTGACAAATAAAGCAGGGAACTTGCGCTCATGCTGTGAGAGCAGCAGCAGGAGGCAGCACACACACCAACACACACACACCAGACAGTTTTTCTCCACCTCCTTGTCAATGATGGAGTTTAATTTAGTTAAAGTGAATTCAGTTCCTCATTTCCACAGATGTGATTTCTATCATCTTACTGCAACATTTTCAATGTAACTGTGTGTTTTCCTGCAGTAAATATCTGAGGCGTCATGCAGAGAACTGTGGAAGAAACATGAGAGATTTACTGTGGAAAATATATTTTCTCCCTATATGTAACAAGAATACCCCAAAGGACAGGGCAGTTTAATCTTCATGAAGTATCTTTAAATAATTCAGATCTACACACGCACAAAGACTGAAGCATTTCTTTAAATCGTATTTGTGTTGCAGCATCTTTTCTGGATAAAACCTCAGAGGAACAGGATTTTTTTCTAATTAAACCACTAAAGATTAAAGGCTGTATTCCTGGGATGCCAGAGGTTTAGACTAAAATCATTTTATGAGGAGATATGACGACTTTATAGCTGATGTATCTGGTGAAACCTAAAAAATTTTGTCAAACAGTCTTGAATGGAAATTTTGGGGGAGTTGGACCACCAAGTTTTGGGGGAAAAAAGAATGTCTCCATCAAAATTATCAATAAATCATTGAGGAAACTATCATTTTAAGCAACATAAAGAAAAGAAAGCATATCCACCATTTATAGAAGGAAAATGATGCATTTTTTTGTAATGCCACTACCTCTTTCCTCATGGCTTTGTCCCCTTTTCTATCTAAAAATATTATTCTGAATAAGAATAAGAGGGCCGCACTTTACAGCAGCAGCTTCGTGCACTCCGTTCATCTTTTGGATGACTGTACGTAAATGTTCTCGTTGTATCTCGGTGCAATGACAATTAAGCTTATTCTGATTCTGAGTCTGATTCATTTATGCCTCTCAAAATTCAACCCCAATCAGCCAACGAGTGATTTGGTCCATTAATTCCATGTGTAATGAACATATACCTGTCAGATATTATTCATAATTTAAACGGATTCTTTCATTTTTCTGGACTGAGTTCTATCGTGTTTTGAATGATTAAATGTGGACGGAAACGTGTTTTAATTTCTGACTCACCAACAACAGTGAGCCGTTTAATTAAAAACGATTTAAAACACATCACACATTTACAATAATTGGCAGATTGATTACAATAACAGCTTAATTAACTTGCTTTACAATGAGAACCATACGGCCATGGTATCACTTGCAGCTTTACAACAGACATTTCTGAAAATATCTGGATTAATTACTGGCAGATAGAAGAGTTTTAAAGATGGGAAAATGAAGTTTAAATGGAGAGAGATGGTGTGTGAGGGAAAATGTGTCGACGAAGAACGGCACCCTCCTTTCGAACCCAGCTCTACCTCGGTACACTTCGGTAGTGGAAATCGACTCTTTACCTGTAGAAGATGTCTCCACTGGTACGGAGTTCCATTTAACGCTACCTTTCCAGCGTCTCCGTAGGAACAGCTGAGAATCGTCCGAAGTAGTGACGGTACTTCGTTCAACAGCAGCTCACCTCAGGGGTGGACTCACATGAGCTGTGAGTCCGTCAGAGGTTCCACTCAGATGTGGAAGATTCCATAATCCCCACGAGACTCGGAACTTTGTTCTTCGTAGTTCCCGTTGTTCTGCGTTTCTACTTGGAACTAGGAAGTGTTGACCCTTTTAAAGAGGTCACTTCCGGTTCCTCTGAGAACTTCCTGATTGGCTGATAGAACCAACAGGGGTGTGGTCTTAGTGACGTAAGAGGTTATTAAAAGTCAAGGAGAAAGAGTAGATTGTTTTAAGAACAGACAGAAAGATGTTTTGAAGAAATGAGACTTTTTGGAGCCAGTCCTCTTCTATTTATCTGAAAAAGTTAAACATGACATTTCTTTCCAGTAAACATGTTTTTGACCGAAACTTGACTTCTGACCCACATCACGACTTGCTCATTTCAGACAGAAGATCAAAAATGCATAATTACTCTTGTAACAGACATTAACTTGATTTCTACTTTGAATGAGGATTAAAAATCATTAATACTGTTTCACAGTTGATTTAAAATGAGTAGTTCACTTCAATATTTAAAATGGTTTGAACTAAACACACTTTTGATTATCAAGATATTGTAAAAATAGTAATGATAATAAAAAAGAGAGTGTTCTTTCAATTGATCAGTGCAGGACACACTTAGAAAGTCTCTGGATGAACTTAATTTTGTGTTTCTGGACTCAAATCAATGAAATAACAGTTCTTGTCCCAGGAAGGCCCTCAGGGTCAGGACTTGACCTGAGGCTTAGTTCACTACACATGACAAGAGGGAAGTACACCTGAAGAATGGCCGAACCAAACTTATGAGCATATGAGAAGGTTTGACTCCAGATACAGCAGCGATCAACAATGATTTAAAAACTACTCTCGACAGATTGCAGCTTTTACGGACATCAGTGTGGAGGCAGTTCAGCGCTCTAACAGGAAGAGGAGGTGTTGTGCCCAGGGGAAGAAAAAGGGGAGACGGGCTGGGGTGTTAGTGAGACTGAAGGCTAATGCTAATTCTAATGCTAAAAGACTCCCGATCCGATCTCTCTTCCTGTCCAACGTTCGCTCGTTTGAGAACAAGCTGGATTTTCCGTGACTAAGAGTGAATGCCTTAGAGCAGGGGTGCCCACACTTTTTCAGCATGCGAGCTACTTTTAAAATGACCAAGTCCAAGTGATCCACCTACTATAAAAATGCAAAACATGTACTTATTTATAAACGTACCAAGTATGTTTTGTATGTTTTACGTTCTTATTTTTAGTATTTTACCATGCTTGATATGGCACCTTGATTTATTGTTTTATAAAACTACTTAGAGTTTAATTGCATTTTACTCTAGTTTATTGTTGTCTGCACTTTATATATGTTGTCTGTCTAAAAAGGTCTCTTGTAAATGAGTCCTCGTGACTCAATGAGACTAACCTTTATAAATAAAGCTTGAATGAATAAATAAGTCCCAGATCGCACAACATAAATGACAAAACCCAAAAGTTTGTTTAAAAAAAAGTGAAAATTTATTTTTATTGTCAGTGTACAAAATAATAAACAAAACCCAGCAATAACTTCTGTTCTTCACACAAAGGAACTGAAAACAAGAATAACTTCCTGTTTGAAAAATAACCTGAGAATTTGAGAATAAAACTGAAAACTCAGCCCTGACAGCAGCTGCTTTTAACTGTAACTGTATTTCTTGATACCTGAGAGCTTTGATGGAAGATAATATTTCTGGTTTGTTTTTAAAGTCTCTGAACAACCAGTCAGATGTGTCAACGAATGCCTCCTGTACCATCTCTCTATCTTGAAAAGACTTCTTGTGCTTAACAATTATTAAAGTGACTCACCAGGGCTGATGCTTCGCTGCTGGTCAGCTGTAGGAAAAATTACTGCTGTCCAGATAACTGGGATTTTAGCCTCCCCACCATTACAGACATCTACACCTCCAGATGCAAGAAGAGGGCCACCTGCATCATGACGGATCTCGCTCACCCAGCACACACACTTCCTGCTGCGCTCCCTCAGGCAGAAGATTGCAGAGCATTAAGTGTAGAACTACTAGACTGAGGAAGAGCTTCTACCCTGAAGCTGTGAGACTCATGAATCCCTAACCAGGAAAATCACTGTAATGCCACTTTAAATGGTGATATGTGACTTATATGTGCTGCTGATTTTCTCATGCTGCTGTATTCCTTCATACACATCTGCTCACCACAGACTCATGTTCTGGCTGCTGTTGTTACGCTGTATTGTTTTCCATTATTAGAGTTTAGTATATAATAATCTTAGATCATTTAGTGTACTGTTTGGTGTTCGTTTAGCATATATCTTAGTGTTTATCTTAGATCCTTATATACTGTTTCTTTATACACTTTATATTTTTGCTCTTGTTGGGTGTAACTCGGACCCTGAGTACATAATTTGTTCCACCTCATATACCACATGTGATGCAAATGATAACAAAATTAACTTGAACTTGAAAAGTTAAAGCCAGACTAGCTCTTCTGCAACAAAGCCTCCTTCTCTCATGCCGCTAAGCTAACTCTTGTCAAAATGACAAAACTTCCAATTCTGGACTAGGGTGACATCATCTACAAAATGGCATAAAGTGTCCTCAAAACCTGGACACAATTTTACACACTGTCCTTTGTTTTGCTTTCCATAGAGATCATCTTTGTGATCTCTATAAACTGGTGGAGTGGCCTCCCTGTTAACTAGCATGATGTCTTTCTGCTTTAAACAGCTGCTATGTTTTACCAGGTGCTTCTAATTCAAACACCAGGATGTCACTATGACAGTCATTATGGTATAATTCTCACCTTGTTTTGAAACCTTTTTCAGGGTCTTACCACCAGCATTACCGCCACCAGCTGGTAAGGCGCGTGACGTCAATATGAACCCGCCCACTACAACCGGTACTGAAAGTGTAACGGAAACACAACTCATACTGTGCCGAGCTGAGTTGAACTGTACTTTACCGGTACTAAAGGTAAAGCCTTTCTATCTTATTTCAAGATACTCAAAGCGCTTTACACTAGAATCTGTGCCCTCATTTACCCATTCATACAGCACTCTACATCTCTACAAAGCTAATTGAAAAAATTGTAATGAGACTAATCAGTGCTTTTAGATCACATTCATACACTGATGGGACACATATCAGAGGCTATGAGGGGTTCAGTGTCTTGCCCAGGGACACTTCGCCATGTGACTGCTGGTGGATTCGAACCCCCAACTCTCATATTGGAGGATGACTGCTCTAATCATTCAGCCACAGCCGCTCAGTATTGGTGGTCAGTCCCAGGAACTAGCCACCAAACAATGACTCGATGTTTGTGATATTGACTGAATTGTAGCCATGTTGATGTTTTTCTGGATGTAAAGAACAGTGTGTAGTCTACATTTTTGTAGTGGGTATACTGTGCTTAGAAACCAAAATACACCGGTTAGTACAGTGTAATCGTCAGTTTATTTTGATTTCCTCAAAGCACCTCCCTAGGAAGCGGAAGATAATAGACGGATGGATGGATATATGTTACACACACACACACACACACACACACACACACACAATAATATTTATTATTAGAAGTTATTTTCATTTTAGTTCCAAGTAAATTGTACAAAATATGAAAAGGCTTTAAGTGGCTCATGTAAATATGAATGTTTTAAATTTAGTGTTTGTTTTGTTATTGTTTTTTTTTTACAATTTGTATGGTTTGGGAAAAAATAATTTAATGTGAAGTAATGTGACCTAGAATTGTTGTTTAATAAGGGTTTTGCTGTTTATTGCTCTCAGAACTTTCCAGTCTAAACTTTTATTCTGAAAACCCCCTTGCCCTTGTTCCGGCGATACTCTGTGTCACTCCTGCAAGCTTCACATAGGTGGAGGCGGAGCGGCTCGCGGTGGCACACGTGCCTGGCAGAATACAAACAAACCACCACCCCCCCCCAAAAAAAGAAAGAGGAGGGACACCGCTGTCCTCTGAGGGCATTTACAACACATTTCGCCTCAATGTTTCAATATAATGACGTGCAATGATATGTCACATAACACTAGGCATTTTTAAGTGGGTATACGGAAATTTCCAAGCTTTTCTAGTGGGTATATGGTGTATATCACCATATCACATAGACTACACCAATGGTAAAGAAGTGATGGTGGGTGCCAGAAGTTTGGACTCACGCAGACAGGTGTTGTGGGTGAAGAGGCGCTGCAGTCTCAGACAGTCCTGCCACTGGTTCCCGCTGCCTTCACAGTTGCACCACAGTGACACGTCAGCTGAGGTGTTGCTGATGTAGTTGGGCGTCATGATAGTTCCTGCAGATGAAAGGGTCAAAGGTCATCAGCAGGACACTGAGCACAAAGACAAAGGTTTTTTGTATTTGCAGCATCTGTTCTGACAAGCTCAGGGGGCATCCTCTGTCCTCACTGCAACTACCACCATGTATCTCGTCTTTGTCTTTTTCCTGGCAGCTGGATTTCTAACATCCTTCTACCAATATACTCACTTTACCTCCTCTGTACATAACCAAACATCTCAGTCTGGCCTCTCTAACTTTATCTCCCAGTTGTTCAACCTGTGCTGTACCTCTGATGATCTCATTCCTTATTCGGTCTTGTCACTCCTAATGGGAACCTTATTTTAATTTCTGCCACATTCAGTTCTTTTACCTGTCTTTTGGCAGTGCCACTGTCTCCAGAGCATACAACATAGCAGTTCTCACCACTGTCTTGTAAACCTAAATAGTCTCAGCTCTCTTGTCCTTTTCATTTACATATTCAACATTTTGGACATCTTCAACTGCAAATTTGTGTTTTAAACACAATATGGCAATTTCATAAATGGTAGGAAGAAGTTTGACTGGTTTTGCTGGGGCATAGAGATGGTTTTCTAGTCTCAGACTCAAAAACTGGAACTCAGTTTTTTATGACACCGTGCTTTTAGTTTCCATGTTATTCTGTACTTTCTTGTCATTGGTGTGTTTGGAAAAAATATGCTCCCTGACGTCATAAAGGGAATTTTGGTAACGAGTTTTGGCTCAGTCCAAAGAAGATGAAGAAGATGTTAAATGTCCACATTTTTTTACAAAGCCCAACAATGTCACTGCTCCTGAAGATAGCCCTGGGACCAGCAATGTGAACACAAATGTTTAAAGCCTCTAGCTGAGCCAAGAGATATCAACCCAGACAAAAGATTCCTGAGGATGATCTGGCCAGTGCTGCAAAGGTGCGGGGTAACACGAGGACTGAGTGTTCTGATTTTGCCATTTCATTGGCTCTCAGAAACTGTATGACGTTGTGGTTCTAGTCTTCATTGTAATAAGCTGTGTCACTGATACCTTCGAGAGACCAGCCATTCAACCTGACAGCATGGAGAGCTTGATCATTTCCCCCACAAGTTCAGAACTGGCTTCATAGCAGAAATAAATAATATGAATAATAATAATATAAACTTTGTCATTCAAAATTGTACAGTGCACCATACAAAACAACAAAATTTGGTTTCATTTCTCCACAGCAGTGTAGAAGTACATAATTTACAATAATTTTTTATAGACTTTGGTGTTTAGAAATGTCTGTGTCTGTGTGTGTGTTTGCTGTTGTGGTCGCTTCATTAGTGACTTGAGTTCAGCAGTCTGATATAACTTGTGGGATGAAACTGTTGCAGAACCTGGTGGTTCTGGTCCTCAGGCTGTGGTACTTCCTACCAGAGGTCAACAGAGTAAACAGTCCATATTGTGGGTGTGAGTTGTCTCTTTTGATTTTATTTGCTCTTTTCATTCATCATCTAAGACCAATGTCCTGGATGGATGTGAGGGGTGTCTTAATCTTCTCCAACGTTCTCACCACCCTCCTCAAATCCTTCCAGTCTGCAGCCGGGCAGCTTCCTTCCCAAACTGAGATGCAGCTGGTCATGATGCTCTCGATGGTTCCTCTGTAGAATGTGGTGAGGACATGGAATGGGAGGTGTGCACTCTTCAGCCTACGGAGGAAGTGCAGATGCTGCTGGGCTTTCTTCACTAGAGACCCAGTGTTTCTTGACCAAGACAGCTGATTGGTTATGTGCACCCCCATGAACCTGGGGCTTTCCAACTCTTCCACCTGTGTGTTGTTTATAAGCAGCTTTGTGTGATGTTGTTTTGTTTCCCTGAAGTCAATAATGAGCTCTTTGGTTTTGTTTATATTCATAACAAAGTTATTTTCCCCACACCAGTTCACAAGGTGTGCCACCTCTTCCTGATTTGCCTGATCCTTGTTGTTGCTAATCAGGCCCAAAACCATGGTATTGTCTGCATACTTGAAGATGTGGTTGGTTTCAGACCTGGCAACAAAGTCGTAGGTCATCAGGGTAAAGAGAAGCAGACTCAGAACATAACCCTGGGGGACGCCCGTACTCAAGCTGATAACAGAGGAGGTGTTCCTCCCCACTTGTACTGACTGTGGTCTCTCAGACAGGAAGTCAAGAATCCAGTTTCTGAAGGTGGTGTTGAAGCCTAGTGGAGCCAGTTTACTGACCAGGTGCTGGGGGATGATTGTGTTCAGAACCAGATGGTCAATAAGATCAATGTTTCTTGTCCAGTTTTCCAAATTGACCCTTACTGCAAGTGTCTGTGTTCATACAGTGCCTTGCGAAAGTATTCGGCCCACTTGAACTTTTCAAACTTTTGCCACGTTTCAGGCTTCAAACAAAAATATGTAAAATTTATTTTTTTTGTGAAGAATCAACAACAAGTAGGACACAATTGTGAAGTGGAATGAAATGTATTGGATGTGTCAAACTTTCATCAATTCTGACCATCTTCCCTGTCCCTGCTGACAAAAAGCAGGCCCAAACCATGATGCTGCCACCACCATGTTTGACAGTGGGGATGGTGTGTTCAGGGTGATGAGCTGTGTTGCTTTTACGCCAAACATATCGTTTTGCATTGTGGCCAAACAGTTCAATTTTGGTTTCATGTGACCAGAGCACCTTCTTCCACGTGTCTCCCAGGTGGATTGGGGCAAACTTTAAACAACACTTTTAATGGATATCTTTGAGAAATGGCTTTCTTCTTGCCACTCTTCCATAAAGGCCAGATTTGTGCAGTGTACGACAGATTGTTGTCCTATGGACAGACTCTCCCACCTCAGCTGTAGATCTCTGCAGTTCATCCAGAGTGATCATGGGCCTCTTGGCTGCATCTCTGATCAGTCTTCTCCTTGTTCCAGATGAAAGTTTAGAGGGACGGCCGGGTCTTGTTAGATTTGCAGTGATCTGATACTCCTTCCATTTCAATAGGATTGCTTGCACAGTGCTCCTTGGGATGTTTAAAGCTTGGGAAATCTTTTTGTATCCAAATCCGGCTTTAAACTTCTCCACAACAGTATCTTGGACCTGCCTGGTGTGTTCCTTGGTCTTCATGATGCTCTCTACGCTTTGAACAGAATCCTGAGACTATTTTAATGAGGCCCTAAGGAACACCAGACTGTAGTACCGTAATTTTGTGTTGTTTTCGTAATTGTTTGTGCTGCTGTTTGGCTTATTGTTTTTATACTACTAGTGCTTAGTGTATTTTTAGTTAATGTTTTTCTGAGTTCATATCTTAGATCTTATTACTGTTTTTCTTTTACTTTGTGCATTTTAAACTTTTGTTGGATGTATCCGTGACCCTGTGTACACAATTTTGTTCCACCACATGTATCACATGTGGCGTGTATGACAAATAAAAAACTTTGAATCCTTGAATTTACAGACTATAAGCCGCTAACTTTTTCACACACTTTGAACACTGCAGCTTATACAATGATGTAGCTAATTTATGGATTTTTACAGGCTAATAAGCTTCATGCCTCCAAAACATTTACCGGTAGCCCCATCACACCCGGGCGCTCACATAGGTGCCCAAAACACATCTCTCTTGAAAATGAGTTCTCGTGACTCAATGAGAATAAATGAAGGTTAAAAAATAAAAAAATCTGACCAATGAAATTATCGAACAGGTCACAGTGGACCAATGAAACTTTGAATTAAATCAAACACACTCACACTAAATTCTTCACATTAGTTATTTTTCACATCATGCACACACCATCATCATGAATAATGAATAACACACAAAGAAATGCAGATGATGCAGCTTTCAAGTTCAAGGCGATCGATCTGACTGTTGAAGAAGGAAATAAAGCTGCTGTGCGTAAGTTAAGCAAGCACTAGCCTAGCGGCGAGAAATCATTTACCAAAACTGTCCGCATGCGATGAGCAACTTTTGTACAAGTCTGCCAGTGGATCCTGACAGAGGAGCAGTGTCAAAAAATCCACTATCACCAACAGGTTTTGAAAAGCTGCTGTGTGATGAAGAGGACGTCACAAGCTCAAGGGCGAATTTGCCTCGACACAAAAGTGACGATGAGAGCGACTACGAAAGAGACAGAGGACGTGTGATGAAGTTTTTCTGAGACTGTTCAATTCTGACACTGAAGAAGACGTTAGTGGTTTTAGTACAGGAGGAAGAGGAAGATGGCGATCAATGACTTCCTGGTATGCTACTGCATTTTTTATTTTTTTTAACCAGCCATGTTACAGGCACTGTTCAGAAAAAAAAAAAAAAAACATTTACTGTACATACTTGTGTATTACAGGTATGTATTTAATTGAAAGTTTGAAAAATATTTCTGTGTAAATATCTCATGTTTCAATGTGGACACCTGCGGCTTATAGACAAGTGTGGCTATATGAACAAATTTATTTTTCTTTTTAAAGTTAGTGGGTTTGGCTTATATTCTGGTGTACTCAATAATCTGCAATTACGGTAATTACTATGAGGTCATAACGGCATTTGAAAAACTTCTGACAAAAAAAAAAAAAAGAAAGATTTTTAGGCTTTTTTCAAAAGAAAAAATGTTCATTGACTGCACCAAAAAATAAAAAATAAAAACACGGACAAAAATATATTCATGGCTGATTTTTCTCTAAAAGACAATGCAAGGGTTAAACACCAGGAGGAAGCACTCAGTCCATTTTATTAATGTTGATAACATGACCTGACTAAATAAGTTATGACTTCCTTTTTTCTATTTTGTTTTATTAAGTTTTTTTAAGCACAAAACAAACACACAGTTCTCACTCCTAAACGGGTCACAATCAGAGCCGACATATGATCTCTGTTTCTCAAAAGTCCCGTTGTGAAAGCTGTAGGAAGAAATTGCAGGTTTCTACTTCAGGTGATGAATCATTTTGAGTTCTGTACCTATGAGTCCAGCGTAGGCTCGCAGGCAGAGACCTGTTGAGTCTTTCAAACATCCACTGGCCATCTGATGAGAAGGCTGACAGTTACTGAGGAAATCTGCAAGTCTGGACCTGCAACAGCACAAAAAGCTCCAAGTCAGACGACAACAGAGACGACAGTTCTGTAGATGGATTATTCTGCATTTCAGTGGTCTTTGGATAAACTGTTTTAAGTTCAATATCATTTTTACAAACACTGAAATATTCATTTTCTCACTTTGCATTCTTTTGTCAGTCTTTACCGTTCTTGATACTTTGGATGCCAGAACCTGCTTTGTTTCAAAGTTTTAATTCAAAATGTAATCATCAGAGCTAAATGATCATGTGAGAATTGAAAAGTTTATTAATATTTTTCATTTAATTTACAGACTCGTTTGATCTGCAATTTTTGTGTTTCCATTGTGGAACTGTGTTATATAAAGGTCACTGAACAGATTTTAAAAATTGGCTTAAGTCGTAGAGTTAAAAAAGACAAGTAGAGGGCTCAATGGTCACATGATGTGATTCACTGAAGCAACGGCAGCCATAACCAGAGAGGGCAAGCATCTGGACTTGTCATTGTTGTAGATATTGTCAAAATAGCCATTTGATTGATTGTGAATATGTTGATTATGTAAAAATTATTACAGTAATCGCTCGCTGCTTCGCAGTTCGTATATCGCGGACTCGCTCTATCACGGTTTTTCAAAATAAGATTGGAATGACACAATTGGCTGATTGATGGATGAGCCACAAAATTAGCATGAAATTTTTATTTAAACACTAGATATTTTAACACTTTTAAATTCCACCTGTAAAATGTTGGAACCAGCTGTAATTGTACAATGTATCCAGCAGAGGCCGCATGAAGACTACTTTCAAGTCATGGCCGTTCACTTAGGTTTCACTTTCAGGGCAGATGAAGCGAGGAGAAAACTGTGTAACATACTTTGCTGAACAGAGCATGGTGAGTTTACTTTAACTGATCTGTAAAAATTTAAAAATCAACAATGATAAATTCTCTTCAATCTTCCAACCCACTTAATAGAAACTACGTGCCTCTCAAGTTAGCAAGCTAACGTTAGTGTTCAGTTATACCGCCTTTACATTAGCCTTGTTGTCAGTAGTTATAGTAACCAGTACTGTCGGATTGAGCTTTCAGTTTGTGAGAATATCCAGTGTTAGTAACGTTATCTTTGTCAACCTCAATGAAATGCATTGTTTGTCTGAAATCTTAACTTCTCTGCAAATAAAAATTCCTTCATTCAACCTTTATTTATACAGGTTAATCCCATTGAGCCTCGGAGACTAATTTACAAGAGAGACCTGAATTTTAACAAAGAGTGATGACAACAGTGGACAACAAAAACAACAATAGACAATCATAAAGGATGCGTACAAATTATTATTATTGTTTTAAACAAGTGAAAATAAAATGGTAATTAAAAGGAAAAGTAGCAAAAAAACAGCTACTTTAGGTTGTAAGGTGGTATAGAATACTCAAAACAGGAGCATGTCTTCAATGGTTTTTGCCAGGATGTTTAAAACCACTTAGAGAGGTCAAGGTTAAGAGCTTCAGATCTTTTTGCAAGATAATCCAGGAAACAGGAGCGGAATAGGAGAAGGCCTTTTTGTCTAGTTCAGCCCTCACTGAGGGAACACTGCAGGTAATAATGTCCTGAGAGCGCACGCTGTAGCTGCACTCATGCAGTGACATGTAGGAGGAGATGTCTGAAGGCACCATACCAAGAAGTGATTTAAAGATGAAAATGTTCCATTGAGAGAGTTTGTATGAAGTTAATGATGACCAGTTAACCATTGAATACAGGGTGTAATGGTTGGTACGGTAGTTACAGCCAGTTATGAATCTTAATGCATCATGATAGACAGCGTCTAACATCTGCAGGGTTCTTGTAGGAGCGTTCATGTAAATAACGTCTGGTCAAGTCCAAGACTCGACAACAAAATAAGTTTAACTTACTAATAACTCATCAACACCATCACTATTCCAATAACAACACATTCAGTGTAGGACAACACTCCAGTAGTCAATTACATGCCAGGGAGACAGAAAAGTGGGTGAAGAATTTATCTGACAGACAGCTCACCCAGCCAGAGACAGAGATTCTTGCCAGGGGACTGAATTTGCGGTTGCACCAAGTACAATTCCTCTGGTGGAGATGATCACAGCTACTGAGTCAGCCATCCGCAACAACAAAATGAAAGAGGGTGAAGCAGAACAGCTCAGAATCAAAGTTTCATCCTGCCTCAGCAATGCCAAACCACCACCTTCCAACATCAGTAGAGAGGAGAGGGACACACTCGCCACTCTTAGCAAGGACAAAAACATCATCATTCTCCCAGCAGACAAAGGAAGGTGCACAGAGATTTTGAACCAGAAAGACTATCATGAGAAAGTTATGACACTCCTTAGTGATAACCACTTATGAACCTCTGAAAAGAGATCCAGGAAGTGGTTACAAGAAGAAGTTAATAGATTGCCTGAAAAATTTGGAGCAGGACAAGGCTATTGACCGTTTTCTGTACCACAGACTGTACCCAGGGGAGGCTACACCTAGTCTGTATGGTTTACCTAAAATCCACAAACAAGGTGTACCTTTAAGACCTATTGATAGCATGATTAACTCGGTCACTTACAATGTTTCCAAATATCTGGCGTCTGTACTCATCCCTTTAGTTGGCAGCTCAGAACACCACATACAGAACACCATGGACTTTGTGGATAAGGTGAGGGATGTCATCATGGAGACTGATGAAACAATGGTCTCTTTTGATGTCACATCACTCTTTACATGCATTCCTGTTGATGATGCAGTAGAGGTGGTCAGTTTAAAATTAAAATCAGACACCACTCTGAGCAGCAGGACCACACTTTCCACAGAACAACTGTGTCAACTCTTGAAACTGTGCCTGCAGTCAACCTACTTCACATATGGGGAGCAATATTATAGGCAGAAACATGGGTGTGCTATGGGGTCTCCAGTTTCTCCTATTGTTGCCAACCTGTACATGGAGGAGGTAGAAAAGAGAGCCTTGATGTCCTTTTCAGGGACACCACCAAGTCATTGGTTCAGGTATGTTGATGACACCTGGGTTAAAATTAAATCTCAGGAAGTCCAACATTTTACTGACCACATCAACTCTGTGGATAAATACATCAAGTTCACATGAGAAGATGTAAAAAATGGCAGGTTGGCTTTCTTGGATTGTGAGGTCTCAGTCTCTGATAGAGGACATTTGCAAACTGAGGTGTACCGCAAACCCACCCACACAGACCAGTATTTGCAGTTTGACTCCCATTTAGGGGTTGAACGAGTATATAATTTTTAAACTCGACATTACCATAATAAAACCCGAGTAGAACTCGAGTATTTGATGACGTCATAGATCTCAAGATACAAAGATAAATAAATAAATATAACCGCAAAAAAAGGCAATTATTTACAAAAAAAAAAGACCAACAAAACATTGGGAGCGTATATTATGCTCCTACCATTTATCATACTGCAAATAAGTCACAGGATAAACTAAACTATTAGTTTTTATTATTAAACTGCAAACGTGAAGAAAATGCAGCACGTCAAAAACCAAACTTAAACCGAAACTGGTTCTGGTTCGGTGTTACACCATACTCTGCGACCTGATACAGTGCAACAGCGCCCCCTACGGTCATACGGTGGTCACATGATATGACGTCACTACGGATACCCGACCTTACATTTTTAACCTCGATAGATGTCCTAGCAATCGATGTGTAGATTACTCGAGTACTCTGTTAATGCCCTACTCCCATCACCCTTTGGAGCACAAGTTAGGAGTCATCAGGACTCTGTACCACAGAGCAGACATTGTCCCCACTAATTCAGGAGCCAGGCAGAAGGAGAAATCCCACACAAGACAGGCTCTAGAGCAATGTGGATATCCTAACTGGGCCTTCCTGAAAGCAGAGAAGAAACCCAAACAGGACTCCAGTCAGCCATCAGGTGAAAAGGAGGAACCCAGACCAGTGGTCATTCTGTATGTTGAGGGAGTATCAGAGAAACTGAGACGTTTATTTTCTAAATACAACGTCCCAGTAGCTTTTAAACCCCAAAATACATTACTGAAATGACTGGTTCATCCCAAAGATCCAGTCCCCCGGCACAAACAGAGTAATATTGTGTATGCTGTTCAGTGTCAGGAGGGCTGTGATCAGTCTTACATCGGGGAAACTAAACAGCCACTGGCCAAAAGGATGGACCAGCACAGAAGATCAACATCATCAGGCCAGGATTCTGCGGTCTACACTCATCTCCAGGCCAGCGGTCACTCTTTCAGGGATGAAGATGTTCACATCCTGGACAGAGAGGAACGATGGTTTGCGAGAGGAGTAAAGGAGGCCATCTTTGTGAAAAGAAATCGTCCATCATTAAACAGGGGTGGAGGCCTCCGGGTTCAACTGTCCCCCTCTTACAATGCTGTGATTGCTAGTATCACTCAGCCCCCTGTGAATAGTAAACAGCCATCAGTGTGCTAATGATCCATTGTTAGGCTGATGGTCCTTCTTGACCATGTGAGCAGCTGGTTTTGGTTGTCAGCAGCAAAACTGGTTGATCCACTCTGAGAAGGTGCTATTTAAGAGACTGAGCTGAAAACAGCACCTCAGACTGAGGAAGTCTCTCGGATGAGAGACGAAACGTTTCTACATTTTTTTGCTTTGTTTTGTTTTTTTTGTTTTCTTGTTTTTTGAATGTCCAGAGGACCAGATTGAACTTTTTTGGATTTTTCTACCTGGATTATTGAGCATGCATCAGGATGTTCATGTAAATAATGTCACCGTAGTCAGTGGAGGGAAGGAAAGTCGCAGTTACAAGGTGTTTCCTAGCATTCAAAGTTAAACAGGATCTACAGTAAACAGAACATTTTAAGTAATAGTCAATATGGGTTTAGAGCAAATAATTCAACATAAATGGCTCTCATGGAACAGAAGAGTTAACAAATGCTGTTGATCAAAAACAATATTGTGTTAACATTTTTATTGATTTAAAAAAAGGCCTTCGACACTATTGACGACATCATTCTCCTTGAAACACTGAATAAATATGGCATTAGAGGATTAGCACTACAGTGGGTATCCAGTTATTTGAATAATAGGAGACAGTCTGTACAGGTAAACAATATAAGATCTGAATTTTGTGTTAATGGATGTAGAGTCCCTCAAGGCTCTGTGTTGGGCCCAAAGTATGTGAATGATCTGGTTGATGTGTCAGGGCTTTTGAAGTGTGTTTTATTTGCAGATGATACCACTTTTTTTTTTTTGGGTGAAGATATTGAACGGATGTTAAAGATGATACAGACAGGATTCGTAAAAATACAAACTTGGTTCCAACTTAATAAGTTATCATTAAATTAGGAAAAAAAACAAACTACATGATATTTAGTAATAGAAAGAAAATTATCGAAATTTCATTTAAAATTGACAGTATTGAAATTCATAGAGTTTATGAAATAAAATTTTTGGTTGTCGTTATTGATTTGAAACTGACATGGAAATCTCATGTAAATTACTTAAGATAAAAATATCAAAATCAGTTGCTTTACTATATAAAGTAAAAGAGTTTTTGAATGACAAAGTTTGTATATATTGTATAATGTAATGATTGTTCCATATTTAATCTATTGTATTGAAGTTTGGGGAAAAACATGAAAAACAATTGCAAATCCTATTTTTATTTTACAAAAAAGAGCTATAAGAATTATTAGTAGGACGTGCTATGGTCACCCAACAAATATATTACTTCATCAGTTGAAATTATAAAAAAATTATGATTTGGTTGAATATAGTATTTTGCAAGTCATGTATAAAGCTAAAAAAAAGTATTACCCCCAAATATTCAGTTAAAATTTGTTTAAAAAAAAGAGAGTTGTTATAACCTTAAGGAAATGGAAATGTTTGTAAAACCTCCATTTAGAACTAGTCTGAAGCAGCTCTGCGTTGTAATTCAGGGAATACGATTGTGGAATTGGATATCGCCATAAACATTTCTAAAACAATTTGTGTTTAAAAATATAATTAAGTTAACATTTATGAGAAAATATGATACCGTGTGAAGAATGCCTGATGTTTTTTGTTTCACTCACTGATTTCTTAGATTCTTGGGGGTGGACAAAGCTCAAAAATGTTCAGCCATTATAACAGTTATCAGCGTACACCTCTCCCCTCCCAATATTGGTATCGGTGATAGCCAAAATTTCCATATCAGTCGGGTTCTGTTAGCTTCAGTGGCAGATATTATTCTATAGAGTGTAGTACTGAGCTGGATCATGCTTTAGCACAAATTATTAAATTGTATAATCTGGTATTGCCTTCAATTTATGTAATAATTACACTGTGGAAATTAATATAATATTTTTGACTCTTTTTAGGATCCCATTACACAAACCTGACATGTTGAGAAGGTGGTTATCCAGTATATCAGTAGAGACAAATTTCATCCTTCAAAGTATCACCAGGTATGCAGTAAACAATTTCTAAGTGTTGACAACACAACAGGTAAATAATATGAATATATTTTATTCCAATCCTCTTATGCAATACCCTTTATATGTCGTTTCTGAGTTGTGTGTTATTGACTGACTTCAGATGTAGTTATCTTTATATCTAGCTGTTTTACATGATTGTTGAATGAAATTAACATTAATTATCAGTTCTATTGGAACTTTACAACCTCACAATTTTATTGTAAAAAGATTACAAATAATTTGTGGCACAGATCCTGTTGGGCTTGCTGTTAATTAAATAGATGCTTTGTCACCAGCTGTTGCCCTTTTTGGATGCTATCTTTGCTCCTCCGTGAGGTCACAGTTGCGAGCAGTGGGTGGGATAGGAAGAGGACCGCTAGTTGTCTTATTTAACTCTATGGCTTAAGTTCATTACCCCGTCCAATGTGTCTGATGGTGTTTGATGACAAATGATTGTCTGACAAGACAAAATAAAAAAATTCTGACACTTCTGACTGTATCTGAATGATTGTGAGAATATTGTGCTACAGTGCAATAATTTTGCCTCCATCTCCATCTTCAACCGTTTATCTGTAGTGGGGTTGCTGCGGCAACAGGTCCAGGAGAGAAACCCAGACTTCCCTCAGACCAACAACACGTTGTGGCTTGTTCTGGGGGACCCTGGGGTATTCCTAGGCTAGAGAAGATCCACAATCCCTCCAGCGAGTTCCAGGAGTTCTTGGGGAAGTCCTACCAATGAGACCTGTCCAGAAAATCTCTAAAGGGAGGCGTCCAGGAGGCATTCTGATCAGATCCTGAGCCACTTCGTCTGACTCTGTCTGATGTAGAGGAGCAGCGGCTTTACTCCGAGCTCCTCACCCTTTCTGTAAGACTGAACCCAACCACTCTATGAAAGGAACCCATTTTGGTCACTTGTATCCAGGAGCTGGCTCGTTTGCTCATGATCCAAACCTACACCTTGGGTGCAGAAGCTACTGAATAAGGACCAGCCTGGCTTCCTGAAGTCTGCAGGTGGTCTCCTAGCTGCTGCTGGGCCACATAAGGCCCGTAGAGTCTGGTTTCCATTGTTGTCTCCAATCAGTCCCAGTTTAGATTTACAGGTTGCCAACTCCTCACAAAGATCTCATTTTCCTTGCACTTCCTGACTTTTGGAAAGTAAATGGAGAAGGGTTTGAACAGTTTGGTTTTCTTCTGATTTTTCAGCAAGGTGTATGGCGTGCAGTTGATAACGTCACACTCTGGCTTTTGGGTTGTCTGGGATTTTGGGCGCTTTAGTGGGGAGACTCTTGTTGCTCCTTCAGCTCTTTGTGGTCCATATACAGGTTGTGCATTAGGACTTGGCTGTTTTCTTACACAGTTCATGCATCAATATTTGTGTTTTTTTGTTTGCTTTTTGCTTGAATTTTTGTGTATTGAGGTATGAATATTATTATTAATATGAATATTTTGATTAATATTTGATTGCTGACACTAATGTTACTGTTAATAACTATTTTTAGCTTTATTTTCTCTACTGGTATTGCTGTCTATAATGCTACTTTGAGTCTTTTTATTTAAAATGACCGTTTCATATTTTACAGGTTGTCATGAAAGTGTAAACCAGCAAAACATTTAAAACAGATTACAGAGAAATACATAATCTACAAAACAAAACTGCCTTTTCATCAAACAGAGGCCACCCAGATCATTTGAGGAAACTGTGCTTTCTATTATATTATTATATTGTTTAAAAGTATAGTTTCCTCAAATGATTGGAGTGACCAAAGATTAATCTATGAGGGCCAAGGGGCCAAGGCCAGTACAGAATAATCTCTGATGAAAACCTGAAAACTGCAAACATTCACTATTCAAACCTCTCAACAACAGGGGGGAAACTAACTAACTCACTAACAAACTAACTAACTAACTAAATAAATAACTAAACTAATTGACTAACTAACTAAATAAATAACTCCCTCGCTTACTCACTAACAAACAAAAAACAAGCTAACTAACTAACGAACTCACAAACTAACTAACTAACTAACTAACTAACTAACTTACTAACTAACTAACTAACAAGCTAACTAACAAACTAAATAACAAATTCACTACCTAACTAACTCACTAACAAACTAACAAGCAAACTAACTAACTAAATAAATAAATAAATAACACACTCACTAACTCACTAACAAACAAACAAGCTAAATAACTAACTAACTCACTAACTAACTAATAAACAAGCAAACTAACTAACTAATTCACTAACTAACTAACTCACTAACAAACAAACTCACTAACAAAAAAACTCACTAACAAACAAACTAACTAACTAACTAACTAACTAACTCACTCACTCACTCACTCACTCACTCACTAACAAACTAACTAACTAACAAACAAGCAAACTAACTAACAAACAAGCAAACTAACTAACTAATTCACTAACAAACTCACTAAAAACAAACAAACAAGCAAACTAACTAACTCACTCACAAACAAACTAACTAACTAACTAACTAACTCACTCAC